ATTTTTTGAGACACTGTATACCTGCAAATAGCTTGCCGAATCGAAGCTTTTTTAGCAAACTTATTTTTTGTATTAAAATCAGCTTTTTTTCTATAGAATTTTAATAGACAGGAGTTTGTTGATGAACTTTCTTTATATAAGTTTCAGAAATTTTTAGAAATATAGTTGTCATACAACTTTCTTCAGGGGGTTCTTGCTTTTTTTTGAATTTCAGAACAGTTAGGCACTTTTTGTGGTTTGAAAGATTGAAAAACATGTTTATATCAAATTTTTACAACAAAACAATGAGAAAATTCTCATATTTTGGTTCCCTTGGTGAGAGGCTTGCATTATTCATAAAACTGTGAACCAGTTTTCCAACTAGGTTTATATCTTGAAGGACCTCCTTTCCTCTATTACCAGATTTTCATTTGATTAAATTTGTTTAGGAAAACGTTAAACATCATGACTAATGATGTAGAAATGTATTTGCAACTTTTTTGCTACTGAATTGTAGCTAAATTCAGATTTTCCATATAATTTGTGCAAAATATTTTTTTAAATGTCTTCTTCTTTAGTCATTTATAAAACTTATTCTAAGTTATATGGGAAAACTAAAATCTTTTTTTGAAATCATTACATGTTGCCAACAAAATACAAACACAATGAAAAATATATTAATACAACCACTGAAAAAAAATTAGATGTTTACTCTTTTACATTTGTTTTGTGTACACGCTTTATATATTATGGAATTATACATGTATATATTATGTAAATATGCATGTCTGTATTATACAAATGCATTTCTTGAAATATTTTCAAATATTTTAGAAAATTTTACTTTTTCAAAAATTATTTATCTTTACTGAAGAGCAGATTCACTTATTGAAATAGTTTCTATAAAATATAAAATATAATGAATTTTTATAAAATATAAGTTTCTTATTTTTTAAAAAAGTAAAGGTTTATTTTAAAATTTGATAAATATTATGTTTATTTTTTAATTATATTCTGTCTTTACTTACTGTTACTATTAAGCATTCTAATTACTAATGTCAATGCTCTAGCATGCTTTTTAAATAAAGCATACATCCAAAAAATCGCATGTTTTAATTTCAAAAAAAATTACCAAAAGTTAAACTACACAAAAAGTATCTAGAGTATCTATGTATCTATGATGTGTTCTACAATATTTGTAACTGAGTTGCATCTAAGTACATCTGAGTACAAGAAAAGTAGTACTAAAGTAAATTGTTGCAAAAATATCATTCTTCATAACCTGTAAATTTAGGACGTCACACCCTGTAAGTTGATGATACAAACAAATTATCCCATAAAATCCTTTCAAGGGTTGATAATATATACCACTGCAGAGGTGTGCACTCAAACTTTAGGTCGGTTGCCAGAAGGGAAACCGAAAGTAGCCAGTTTGTTAATTTTGGTCACCTGCTGACTTTTTGAGTTGCTCGTCGCTATTATTTATAAAAGTTTTTGCATTCAGTGGATTTCTTGCATTTTTTAGTCATTTTTCATTATACGACTAAATTTAGACTAGAAATAATTTGTGTGAATAAAAGTAGTATTTCAAACTAAAGATAACATTCACTTTTCTAATTTCAGATAAAACACATGTCGATATATTCCATTAGGTTTTTTACTTAAATTGAGAGCTTATTTTATCAAAAAAAATATGCACTTTTTTTTACAATAAGATATTGACAAATATAAAAAAATAATTTACAAATGCTTTAAAACTCTTTGCTTTAAATGTGTTATTAAGGTAATTATTAAGGTCTTATTTGTTACAAGAGCTTACAAAACTGTTGATATTTTAAAAGTATTTTAAAGTATCACATTGTAATTAAATTTAATTTTAAACCGCGCTAGAATTTATTTAAACTAATTAAACAAAAATTATTAATAGAATCTAAATTCCGTATTTGAAAAAGTTATTTAATAATAAATATATTTTTTTATAATTTATTTCTTAAAACAATCTTATACTTAACATAATCTTTTGTTTGTTTATCATAATTTATTTATTTTAATAATCACAAATTTTATAATTTTTCGCATTTTTATAAAGACTAATAAGCAACTTAAAGATAGATTTTATCAGTTACCAATAAGATATTTTTACACATAATTTGCGTTCATAAACATATTAGGGGTTGCCCACAAATTACTTCTTGCAATTTTCGACCATTTCAGACCCCTTCCCTATTCTAACACTTTATAGCAATATTCTAAGTTCTGTATGAGTCATCATAAAACGACTAATCCTTCCCTCCCCCTCCCTAAAGCGTGACGTAATTTATGGATGACCCTTTATGTCAAAAAAACTTTACACAATATTGAGTAGTAGCATCACAACAGCACACTAATATTGTGTAAAATTTTTTCATTTCAAAAAAACTTTACACAATATTAAGTAGTAGCATCACAACAGCACACCAACATCACACCAACACACCAACATCAACATCACACCAGCACACCAACATCAACATCACATTAACACAACAACATCAACATCACACCAACACCAATATTAGGGTGGTTCTAAAAAACAACTTTTTTTGAAGATGACTGCTGGCACCCCCTGAATATGTTGTATATAATAAAAAAATGCTGGATTTAAAAAATCTTTGAATAAAAAATATTTTAAGGGGTTGCTACCAACCCTCAAACATTAAATAAGTCCCTAATATTATTTAAAAAAAAGTTTTTTAAAAGTATGTCATGTTGGGTATCAAATGAAGCAAAATTATATAAAAATTTCAAAAATAATATTCATTAAAAAAAAAAAATTATGATTAAAAAATCTTGTTAAAGTCTTTATTTTTCAATTTTTAGTTAAAAAAAAGGTAATTTTCTGTTCACAAAAATCTATAATAGAAATTTAATTATAGAATTATTAATATTTTTGAAATTTTTATAAAATTTTTCTTCGTTTGAGACCCAACATATCATACTTTTGAAAAACTTTTTTTTAATAATATTCAGCAGTCATTTTTAAAAAAAGTTGTTTTTAGAACCACCCTAACCAATACCAACATCACACTATCAAACCAACATCAACATCACACCAACAACTTGGATGCTTACTGCTGTAAGACTGTATGCCATACATGATGTTTGCAAGTTTCATGTCACAAGAAATGATCAAAAAGTTAATCAAACATTTCTCTTGAATCAAGTCAAGAAGAGCTTAGTCATTTTAATATATTTCTGATGTGTCTTGTGCAAATGCAGTGATAAGTTGTTAATGTCTGTGGAAATAAATTGGCTTTCTTCTGCAAAGAAGAACGCCAAACTGCAAAGCTTTGATTCATATATCTTATCACTTGAGATAAATGTGAAGCTCACTATTTGAAATGACCCACCACTATTGATTCCAAACTTCACAATTGCTAATCACCTAATTTTCTAAATGTTGTGACAGTTTCAAACAGGTTGTTCAGGCTATGACAAAGAACAACTTTCCATATCAATTTGTCAAAGATAACATTAGGTTTTTCACATAAGGACAACATTTGGTTTTTCACAGTAAAATGGTCATTCAGCATTTTTCCAAAATTTTGACCCAAAATTCTGCTGAAAATTTGGGTTCACTATTCTCATAGAAATAATTTGATTTAAAGTTGATCCGTTTTTCTGGAATACAGTGAAAAGAGCGACTACGACCAAGAATAGATAGGCACACAATGCAATGCTTTGTAACATTTTGATCTATAAGTTAATTCTTTGCTGTTAAATCTTTATAAACGAAAAGAGATTGCTTTTCTTTTCCTTTCAATTCCTCTAACATGCAAATTAAACAGTCACTAAATATTAAAAAACGTGTTGTTGGTTTGATGAAAATAGATTCAAAGTTGTTAAGTTGTGAAACTTGATGTGCAAGTTTCACAACTTAACAACTTTACTTCCATTTAATTTGTCATTTTTAATATGTGATACATATTTTTCTAAAGGTTCTTAACTTGAAAATTGATATCCTTTTCAAAAAAAGTCAAGAATTTTTTGTTGGTAATGTTTTGTCAATTTGCAATCAGTTATATTACAGATGATGCAAGCAGAACTTCTGCAAACTTTACTAGTTTTAAAGCAGTTTAGCATTTTGTTTTTAAGATTTTTTTAAGAAAACAAAGAATTGTGGGTTTGTTGGAAAATGACTTTGCTAAACAACCCTCTAGGAAGAACCATTAATTATTGAATATTTTTGAGTAGTGACTATCTCCTAAAATTTTATCCAACAAAATGTTTTACACCTCATTTTACATAAATCTAACTATACCAGTCAAAATCTTGTTCAAGTGAAACTTGAAAATTTCTCATTTATGGTAACTTAGAATTTTTAAACCACTTTAAATAGACACCTACAGGTATATACAATTTAACTGTTGCAAAGGTTTTTGTTGGTATTAAATCCTAAATATATCAGACATGTCTTAAAAGAACCATCTGCACAAATAAGTATTTACAATATTGTGTAGGTGTGTTCTAGATATCTATAACATTTGTAACTGAGTTGAACATAAGAAAAATAAATTCTAAGTACAAGATGAATAGTACTAAATAATATGGCAGCTTAATCCATTCACTCCATTCAATCCATCATTTACTTTTTAAGAGTTTTTTTCAATCCATCATTTACTTTTTAAGAGTTTTTTAAACAAACCTGTTGTATGCTCTTTACACAAAATAAAGCTGCAAAACTGTTGAATAAAATTAAAGGCTCCCAATAGTTAAGAATAGAAATAATAGTAATGAGTATCAGAAATATTTATTATTTTGTATTTATCTATTATTTTTTCTTTCACTTTTTTTTTAAACATTTTAGTGATTAGTAAATTATAATTTTGAAGCTATTTTAAATATACTATGTAATGTTTAAATTAGTAAATAATTTATGACTAAATTTTTATTTTATTTCTGAAGTAAATAAAGAAAACTAATCTTGTAGGATAATAAATTAATAAATAAATTATTTAATAAAAAAAATATTTTTTTATAAGGAACAACTGTAAAAGAGCTTGGTAATTATAAGTTTTATCCAACATGTACTGGTATTTGGGGAATGAATACATTTATTGGTTATTTAACAGCTTGTGTAGACTTCAGTAATGGTTTAAAAATAACTTTCCAGCCAAAGAGTTTATCTTACTTTGATGAAAAGCTTATGTTTTTTAAAAGTTCTACTAATGATGTAGAAGGCCCTGAGTTTTCTTTTGAAATTATGTCAAACTCCAACAAGAATGAGAAAAACTCTTATGTAAAAGGTTTTTTAAAAACTATTGGTTACCAAGGATACATACATAAAAGTTTAAACTCAGATGATTTGTCATTCCAATTCACTGGATATCTTTTTAAAGAAGTTAAAATGAATGTAAACCTTTCAGCTTTATTTGGTGACAATCATATTAAGGTATACAAATTTTACATTTTTTTTGTTTGTTTATTTATAAATTTAACACAAGTCTATTTAATAATAATAATCTTGCAAAATTTATGCGCTTTAGACAGTATTTTTAAATATTTTATTTTTATTTTTAAATGTGTTACATGACTTGAGGTTAAATGACAGCAACTATTTTAAAGTTAACTTTTCAAATACTTTTGATCATATTTACATATTTAAAATTTACTATTATATATAGGGCAGATAATTATAGGGGAGAATCTTAATGTATGGGACAGTTTAAGTAAAATACTTTTTATAAATAGATCAGGTTATTTAATTTCAGGTTATTGAAGTGACTAATCAAAAAGTTTTCTGTTTTAAAACTTCCTAAAATCTTGAAGTTGACTGTTATTTGTGTTATTATGATTTATATTGTGATAACATTCTTTATTTATGAATTTTTTCGCTTGTCTCTTTCATATGTAAATACTAGATGCAAACTAGATACCTGTCCTAATACTGATTTATTAGTTAATAAAAACTCAATTTTTTCTATTTTAGTATATGTCAATTTTGGTATAATTTATGTATATATTAGTTCCAAATTTCTAACTTTGTAAGATTAAAATACAATTTGATAAATATTTATTTAATTATTTATTTATTAGTATACAGCAACACTTGATGTGCAAGCAGCTATGCCAGAAATCTCTAAAAATATAAAGCTATTAATCAGTAATGCTCATGAGAAAATACAAACTAACATTTTAGACAAACTTAATGACCTTCTTTCAGACATTACAAAACTTGAGCAAGAGTTAAAACTAAAGCGAGAATATCTCTTAAATCGTAATAGTGAACGAAGAAATAATGTTTTCAAGAGGCGTCTTCTTATTGAAGAAGCAAATGAAGCAATAAAAACAGATTGTGTTGATATATGTGGAAGCAGTATGGTTCTATATTTATTTTATAATATTTATAAAATGTTTTTCTTTATTTATAACAAATATAGTTTAAAATTTCCACTTATAAGTTTAAACATCCTGATATAAAATAAAAAAGTTTCCTCAGAACTTTCAATATGTTGTATAGTTCAATATGTTGTATAGTTTTATAATTTTGTTCTTACTAGAAATTTACATAAAAGTACATAAACATACATAACCATCATAAACATATATTAAGAATATATAAAAAAGTTAACATGTTAACTGTATTCTAACTATTTATTTTTTTAGTTTAAAGGGTAGATTATATAAACAATGTTATATAACAAAGTTTTGTTAAGTAAGAGGTTTTTAGATGTTTATGCTGAAGTCAGATTTTGTGGGCTAAGTAATTTGATAGTTATATAATATACAGAGTAGTTTATATATCTTAGTTAAAGATGCAAAGTAAACTTTTTCTTTCTGGATGGTGGGAAATAAAATTATATGAGTCATAGATCATTTTTTATATACTTTTGATTACTTTTTCAAATAAACTAAATGAATACTGCATCATAAATGTTGAGGAGGGACAGTGGAAATTAAATTAAAACAGTGATATATTTAAAGGATGGATTATGAAATTTAACCTAAAATGAGTTATTACAATTAAGACAAAGAATGCATCGTAAAAATTGTAAATACAATATAAATTATATATGAATTAAATATGAAGCGATTCCATAATTTTACCAGTTGATAAAAAGTATATAGTGTATAATAAGTTAATTTTTTGATTAAAAACGGTTGGATATTATGCTGTGGGGTTTACATGTGAGGTGGCTTTCAAAGAAAATTAGTGTAGCAAATTTTTTATTAAGTTCAAAACATATTTTACATAGTTAAAAAATTATAAACATAGTTTAAAAAAAAAAAATTAATATAAATAGTAACATTTTTTTTACAGAATGTGTTGAGTCCTTAGACTGGACTTCCAATTGCACTGCAGTTGCTGGACAACCTCTTGCATGTCTTAAATGGAAAAAATGTAATTATTTAGCAGCAGACACTAAATGTATTGCTAATTGTGAAGCTCTCAAAATACCTACATCTATTAGTGCTCACCATGAACGAGATGAAATAAGGGTTGGTAATTTCTTTATTTTTAAATTTTAAATTTTTTATAAACCAGAAGACCATTATAAACTTTTAAATACTTTTTCTTTAACTTAAATTTCTTATTTACTTCATTGTTAATAAATGCAGTCTGTGTTTATTTTTTAAAATGAATAAAATAAAAAAAAGTTTTCATCAAGTCTTTGATTTTTTCAAACATTTTGTGTCCTTATATTGATTTATGATCATGTGATTTAGAAAATTGTGTTATGAAATCATTAATGACTTTATCATTTGTTAGCATCACTATATCATTATTAACATCAGTATATTTAATTGAAGAAGGATATTTATTATATTCAATGAAGTTAAAAAAAGTACACAAAATGTATACTTGAAGTTTCCTAAAATCTTGAAGTTAACTGCTATTTTTACTATTTGTGATTTTTGTGATAATATTCTTATTTTTATTTATAAATTTTAAATTTTTATGCCAATGCAAAGTTTTTACACAAGTGAGATCTGGTTTTTTAGAATTTAGCTGAAGACATCAGTGTTACAACAAGTCGTATGGATGGAATTAACTCACTTTTGAACCGTCTTATTAAATTAAAGTTTCATTTATCATATAAGTTTGAAGAAGTTCAGAATAAGTGAGGTTTTTTTTCAAAAATATATTTTTTTTAAACTCAATTTTGTGCTTGTTTTGTAAAACTTTATTGTGTTACTGTTTCACAGAACACTATTTGTGCAAATTTTGAATACTGCAAAACAAGACTTATTAGAGTTCACAAATGAAATTCCAACCTCTACTCAAGAACTCGCAAATATAAACATCCCAGAGTTGCACTTTAATTCAATGTCATACTTGTTTTTGGGTAAAATTTACACCATGAGTGAAAGATCATTTTTTATTAATCATCATTTCTTCTATGATTTTGCAGAAGAGCTTATGCAAGGAGCAGATGAGAGATTTAAAACTATGACAGAATTGATTGATCACCTAAAGTCAGAAGTTGCAAAGCAAGAAAGTTCATTTTTCGATTTTAAAGAAGATTATAGGTAAATATGTGTTTACAGAACTATTAGATTTAATCTATATAATTCAGTATTTCTGAATTAATGGATTACTGAGTAACTCAATATTTCTTAAACCATTTAAAAAATGTTCCTATATTATAATTAAAATGATTAACTACACTGCGACAGTTTTTTTTTTTGCCATTAAGGTGATTGAATCATTACCCTTTTTTGATTTTTATATCTTACCTATATTTGTATTTTCAACCCTCGGAAGTAGGAAAAATGAGGTCGGCAATTTATTGCCTTAAACTGTTAGAGGTTGCCATCAGGTCAGCAAAAAAAATTTGACTCAAAGGTTTTACTATAAAATATAGAAACAAGGTTGGCGATTTTTATTTAGGTTGACATTTCTGAATGCCAACCCTAATTCCGAGGGTTGTATATTATATGTTATCTATGAATATATCTGAATAAAAACCAGGGTTCGGGTCATCGAGCACATGATGTATTTGTATTTATAATTAATAAGCTATTTATTATTATTTTTTTAATATTTGTATTTGATTGAAATGTATATTTAGGTATAAACTAGGTTGACTTGCGTTTTTTTTTGTGGAAAAACCAATAGATTTGTTGTTTTATTTGTTGCAGTAAATAATCTTTTTTATTTTAAACACTAAATTAATAATTTTATTTTTATTTAATTATTTGATATTTATTAAAAGACTTGTTTCATTCTTAAATTTAGTAGACATTTTATAAGTATTATCTTAAAAAAATACCTGAATTTTTCTAAAAACAAAATATAAATATTTTTATTTGCATTTGTATCTGGATTAATCTTTTAATTTGCATTTAAATCTGGATTACATATATTTGTATTTAAATTTGTATTTAGGAATCTAGAACTAACATTCTTGTTTTTAATTAAATTTATTTGACCCCAACAATGATAAAAAAGCTAAAAGTTTAAGTTATAATCATAAAATACTATACTCAATATACTCAGGTCCAACATAATTGGAAAAAGCAAATAATCGGATTGGTTATTTAAAACTTGCGCCAATTAATATAATGACTTAAACTTTATTGTGTTATTGTGTTTTAACTGTGTAATTGTTGTAAATTTTATCACTTATTATTGTTAGTATTCTTTTAAAATCTTTTTAAAAGAAACCATGATCAAGAAGACAGTGAGTTTTTGGAGGATAATGAAGAAGAAGGAGAAGAAGAAAGGAGAGAGAATAATGAAGATAATGAAGCTCGAATTTCATTTGACCATGAAAAATTCAAATACTTATTCAATCCTTTATTAATTGATAAAAACAACAAAAATATGACAAAAAGGTCAACCACTGAAGACTCTCCTTACAATGCAGTAGAAAAAGATGGATCTCTAGAAATTAAAATACAGCCATGCATAACTAAAGGTAATCTGGTTGCTTGTTTTCAGAAATTTTTCAAGTTTTTTTTTAATTATTTTAGCAATAGAGATAATTATAATATAATTAAGTGATTTTTTGTATTATAACATGTAATGACGCATTTGCTAATAAACATGATTTTATTCAAAAAATTAAAGTTATAATTAATGAAAATACAATTTTTTTTACTCACTTTCATTTTAAAATTTTTTATCAAACTATTAAAAAAAAATACTCTTTTAATACTATAAGGCAGCAGGATCCACTGGGAATACTTGTTAGTAACTTAACTGTTAACTGTTACTAATAGCAACAGATGCTGTTTGAAAAATGTATTAGCAATATTGAATATTGATTTGAGTTTTAATAAATTATCAAGTAATATTTGAACAAAATGTTATTTAAATATGTGCATGTGTATATGTGTGTGTGTTTATATATATATATATGTATATATATATATATTATATATATATATATATATATATATATATATATATATATATATATATATATATATATATATATATATATATATATATATATATATATATATATATATATATATATATATATATATATATATATATATATATATATATATATATATATATATATATATATATATATATATATATATATATATATATATATATATATATATATATATATATATATATATATATATATATATATATATATATATATATATATATATATATATATATATATATATATATATATATATATATATATAATATATATATATATATATATATATATATGTATATATATATACACGCATATATATATATATATATATATATATATATATTTATATATATATATATATATATATATATATTTATATATATATATATGTATATATATATAAATATATATATATATATATATTTATATATATATATATATATATATATATATTTATATATATATATATGTATATATATATATATATATATATATATATATATATATATATTTATATATATATATATATATATATATATATATATATGTATGTATATATATATATATATGTATATATATATATATATATATATATATATATATATGTATATATATATATATATATATATCTATATCTATATCTATGTATATATATATATATATATATATATATATATATATATATATATATATATATATATATATATATATATATATATATATATATATATATACACGCATATATATATATATATATATATATATATATATATATATATATATATATATATATATATATATATATATATATATATATATATATATATATATACGCATATATATTTGTATATTTGACCTAACCTAATTATTTTTTTGACAATTTGTCCAATAAATACTTAGGTTTGGTGGATTTGTCCAACAAAATAGAGAAAGAAGTGCAATTGCATGCCATTCCTGACTACACATAAAATATTTTTTTTTACAACTCAAGTGCGAACTGGCATAAGTACACCACAAGAATTTGTAAATATTGGCATAGGTGCTAACTGTCATAAGTGGGAATCAGTTGCAAACACTTGAACTGGTACAAGTGTGAACTGGCATAAATGAACTGGCAGTTTGAACTTATGCCAATGTTTTCACATTCTTTTGGCCAGTTTGTACTTTTGCAAGTTCGCACTTATGCCAGTTTTTACAAGTGCTTCACACTTATGCCAAATCACACTTATGACAATTTGCATCTATGCCAGTTTTTGCAACTGCTTCACACTTATGCTAGTACCCAAATTCAAAAATGTAAATAATTAAGCATTTAAAAAGTATTATAATTTAACTTTTTAAAACCATTTCATGGTTAGATTAATTATACAATTTTCAAACATACATTTATACATAGAAAGTATACCAGTACTTATGTACTCCTATGAAATTTGCGCTTATCAACTCTCCTTTTTATCTATTTTTTTTATCTATTCAAAACTAAAAATTATCTTTTTAAACTTTTTTAATAGCGAAAAACTTAAGTACGAAAACAAACATCTTAAAACATAACTTATATTTGGTAGCGTAATAAAACGTACTGGTTTCTATAAACATTAAAATAATTATTACATTAAAATTTTTAAAAAATAAATATGAAAAGGGATCTTAAAAGCTAAAATATTGGGCTAAAATCTATAAAAAACCATCGCACAAAAATTTAAATAAATAGTAATAGTATCAACTTAAATTAATAATAATTAATTGTAACGTTTTAATATAAATGGTAAAAGTTAAAAACAATAAGAATTTAAAGCTTTAGCATCTTTTAAAAATTGAATTAGCTCAAAAAAAAAAAAAAAGTTATATTTTATTAACGTAACTGTGAGTTCAACTTCATTTTCTTTTATGTATAAAAAAAATTAAAAAATTCAAAAAAGTGAACTTTATTTATTATACTGAATTTACCAATTTTTTTGCGGAACAACTAAAATGAGTATAAAATCAATACACGCAAAATATGAGTCGGGACAAAATGAATGGTAAACATTGTTTTTTTACTTGTAAAGTGTCTGGTGGCTATTTCGAGCCATATATGTGTATACATATATATATATATATATATATATATA